CCGCGGCCTCCCTCGCTGGTGAGCGGAACCAAGCGGGGGGGAGGACCGCGAGGCGCGCGCTGGGCTCTCCCGCTCCGCCTGCAGCTGCTCTCCCCGGTGGCCCGCGGCCACCCCTCCGGAGGGCTCGGGGCAAGGGAACTTGACGAGCCCGCCTTTGAGCTGAAGGCGGGAAAATGGCGGACTCCTCGGGGCGCGGCTCTGGGTGAGTTGAAATCCCGCGGGTCTGGAATTTGTGGTTGCCGGAGGGAAGCCCTTGGCCGACGGCTGGGGGCAACGGGCAGCAAAGTTGGGGAACGGGGACCCTCGGGGTGAGAGTCCGGACCTGACCCTTCTAGGAGCCACCAGAGATGCGCAGGTTCAGGGAAGCCCCGGGTGCAACCTCCGCGCATGCTGGGAAAGCGGGCGCGTAGGGAGACCGCGAGTTCGAGTCCCAGGTCTGCCGCTTCGATGGGGGTCATCCCGGCCAGTGACTTAAATTCTCCGAGCCTCGCGTCCTCGGTTGCGGAACGGGGCTGATGACGCCACCGCTCAACGTGTAGGTCTCACGTGAGCCTTGAAAGCACTTAGAACAGCGGTTCTCAACCTGTGGGTCGCGACCCTTTGGGGGTCGAACGACCCTTTCACAGGGGTTGCCTAAGACCATCGGAAAATACATGTATAATTACGTATTGTTTTTGTGATTAATCACTATGCTTTAATCATGTTCAATTTGTAACAATGAAAATACATCCTACATATCAGATATTTACATTACAATTCATAACAGTAGCAACATTACAGTTATGAAGTAGCAACGAAAATAATTTTATGGTTGGGGGTCACCACATCATGAGGAACTGCATTACAGGGTCGCGGCATTAGGAAGGTTGAGAACCACTGACTTAGAACATGCCTGACCCGTAAGGGTGGTCTGTTGCTGTTAGAACAACCACTTTGGAGCGGACATGTGCTGGGCCAATACAAGATCTCTCTGACTTGTCCCACCCGCCTTCTTACATGCTCCCCATTTACTGATGAGATGGTGGGGGCTCAGGGAGGGACGGTTATTTGCCCAGTGTCACATGGCAAGAACAAGAAAGACGTGGAACACATTCCCGGTGCCAGGCGTGATCCAGGGCTGTGTTTTGTCTTATTTGTTCATTCGGCTAATGCTTATTGTGCCGATGAGAATGAAAATTAAATGGGCCCCAGAAATCACTTGTATTTCCTCCTCAGCCCTTTGCCCTAACTGTGAGATTGATATTAGCTTCTCTGAGCTACAGTACCCAGGTGGTACCTGAGGCTGGCCCAGGTGTGGTGACCCCAACCCCAGGTCCCTGCAGTTTCGGCCTGAGCTCATTTTGTTTGGCTCCAGAGCCCTGACTTAGATCCAAGGGAATCCTTGCTCTTTCCCTTTCCAGCATTGAGACTAACTAGGGGTGACCTGTTGAAGCTCAGGCCCTTGTCTGGAAAACAGATAAAGCAGGCCAAAGGTAGGTACGCATTTGTAGGGTTGGAGATGTCTCCCACCATGGCCTGGGTCTCACTTTGGGGGTCCCCCAGCCCAGCGCTAAAGGAGGTGGCTACAGCGAACTGAGCAGGTGACCTCTGCTGCTGCAACTAGTGGAGCCTGTGATGTCAGCAGGAGTCAGAGTCCAGGTCTCACCCTGGCCCCTTCACCTGCTCCTACTGCATGGCTCGTCCCCTGTTCCTGGCGTCCCTGCTTCTTCCCATTCACCCAGACTGGAAACCTGGGAGGCATTCCAGACTCCCCTGCACCCCACAGCTGATTTGTCAGCGATTCCTACCTCATTGTTCCCTCATCTATTACGTCAGGGCTTCATTCTTTCTTTCAGGACATTAAATTATCAGATATTTACATTACGATTCATAACAGTAGCAACATTACAGTTATGAAGTAACCATTGTAAGGTGAGCAATTCCATGGCATAAAGACATTCACAATGTCGTGCATCCACCACCTCTGTTCTAGAACGTTTTTCTTCAGTCCAGAAGGGAAGCCCTATATCCATTTAGCACTCCCAATTCC